TGCTGTAGACGCGTCTCGACGTCGCACGTAAGAGATTACGAGTCCGAGAGCGGAGTTCGGAGCGCAACTCCGTGTCTTACGGGAGAGATATCGCCGGGTCGGAGATTAATCGCGCCGCGCCCCATCGGGCGATTGAAGCTGCGGAAAATATGTCGCTCCGGAGGGCTCGCGGGCGCTGCTAGATAGTCGAGAAGCGATGGCAAGCAAGCCGTCATCGCAACGGGAGTAGCGACATTGCAGGGAGCGAGACCGTGCATCATTCCGTCACATATTTATACCAGCTTGCACCGCGCGGCTGGGCGACAGGGGCGGGGGGATCGAGGGAGAGAAGGGCGGTGGCGCGGCTTATCGCCTTGAGATTGCGGCTAAATCTCTCCCCGGGGTGCGACGCCCCCGTGCGCGATCGCGGCAAGTTCCGGCTTTAACAAACGGTAGCTCGCGACGAAATTGCTCGTCGCCCAGAACCGGCGCCGCCGCGGGAGGAAGTTCCCGACTGCCGAGCGACTGCATCCGCCAGAAATTCCCGGTCGTGTCGTTTTATAATCGCCGCTTTTATTTCCGTCGTCGCTGGCAAGCGCCGCGCCGGCCTTGACGAGAGCGAGAAGGAGCAACGGCGCTTGTAACAACATCGTCGTCCGACATGAGCAAAAGCCGGTTACGCTCTCGTTGGAGGAACTTGCGATGAAACGCGTGGAAATGGCAGCTGTCCTGCGTGTTGAGAAAGTCGCCTATGCCTATGATCGCGCATTTTTATCGAGCACGCTTATCAAAGTTTGTAACGATAAAATTATGCATTCGTATGCGCACACCGCGCGATCGATCCGTCGACACCAATCGTCGATCGGGTCGGAATTTGTCGAGATTTTATGAACGTTCGCAAGAATCCTCGCCTCTTGTCTTGTCGCTATGAAATATGAACGGTACGCGGCAATCGGAGAGTTCGGAGAAGCGATCTCGTCCTCCGGCGCGAAGCAATGCGAAAAGTGAACATCTCCAAATATCTTGCGATAAGAAAATTCCCATCTTTCGCGCGCGGTTCGCGCGAGAAAAGAACAGATTCACGATCGACCGGACTGGGCCGGGCCGGAGATGAGACACAGCCGGCGATTAAAAATTCTCCCGCCAGCTTCCCGACACTTGATAGTTCAAGCGAATTCCCCATGAATTGCATGTTCAGCTGGTTCTCACGAGCCGAGCTGCTCAAATCGAATCCTTTATTGGCCCGTGCGATGCGCTATCGCTATAGACGCGCTCAAAAGAGGATGGATCGCACCGGTGCGAGAGACACGCGCGCGCGCGCGCGCGAGAGGGAGAGAGAGAGAGAGAGAGACGAAGGCAGAGCCAGAGCGCGCCGGATGCGCCGATAAACGCGCAACGGCAACGCCGAGCGCTTCAGCCGTGCCCACTTTTACGCTCGAATTAACATACTCATTTGTTTCCCCCGAGAGGAAACTCGCTTAACCCCGCGTCGCGGAGGGGTCGCGCCGCCGAGCCGAGCCGAGCCGAGCCGCCGCGCCGGCGGCGCGCCTGGTACAGACCGCGAGATGCAGATACTCGTACAGCCGGATGCGCTGCTGCAGCGGCCATATTCCCGGGAGATTATTCATGGCGCAGCTACGTCGCCACTTGATTCCTCGATCTCAGTACATCGCCCGCAACAAAGATTGTGTTTGCGCGAACGCTTCTCCGCTACCGCCGCCGCCGCCGCCGCCGCCGCCATCGTCGCCATAGCAGCGTCGTCGCTTTATCCCGTTATTGAATGCAACTGTCGTCGACGGGGTTAACTTCCCGGATAAATTGCGACCGGAAGAGAACGTATTACGCTCGTTCGTTGTCACCGGCTGAAATTCGCCGCATCCGCGACACTGAGCGCGCGCCTTTCGCATGTAAATAACCGCCAGCGCGCCCACCGGCGCGTTTTATCGCGCGTCTTTATCACGCGCATAAAGTAACTATATTTTGACGACCTCTTTGTACGCAGCTCCGCCATGAAGCTCGACCGTTGCGAGCGTCCGTATCGCCGGGCGATGTACATCGTTTAATTTTAACGATGAATAAATCCGAGCGAAGCGCGCTCGCGAGACACCGCGAATGCGCGGAGATACGCGCGCAGGCAGGCGCAGCTCTGGAAGTTTGTTCGTCGAAAGATCTGGACGGAAAGTTGCGCTTTTTACGAATCCACTGACAGATCTGCCGGCGGCAGTCCCGAATTTGTCGCGAGATAAATCGCGGCCTGTAATCGCGCGGGAACGCGGCTTTGTCGCTGCGCCGCGCGCGTCGCGCGATCCGATAATTTATCCGGATAATGGATCCGCCGCGTCGCTTATAATGGGGAGTTATTACCGATTTTTCCCGCCGCTAAGTGCAGACGCTCACTCGTGAGGCACTTGCCACTCCGCCGAACTTTTGGAACGCATTATCGCGAAGCACCTGTGCTGATAAATGCGCACACGCTCGCGGGACAAGAGCGTTCAACTAATACACGTAAATTGCAAGCGTCGCAAAACTGCGCGCAACTTGCAGAAATATGCGTGCTCGCGCTCGCGCCGCCGCGCCACGGCTCGTGATTATTTCAGAAGTCTACGTCAGAAAGGCAGCCGCGAGAGATTTTTTGGCAGCGTCGTGCTGTAAGACGCTGTGAAAGCGCCGAGGCACCGCCGAGGTGAAACTTCCCGCGCCATTAGTAATCCGCCATTGGTGACTGCCAAATTGGCAGTAAAAGCCGAAGGCGAATGACGGAGAAGCGGGATAGAGGGTCGTCACGAAGTTGGACCCTTCGGATGTCACCTATTCAGATGCTCCGAGAATTTACACAGGAGCTTTTTTCGAGGCGCCATCAAGAGACGCGTACGCGTAAAGCGACTCCTCGGATCGTTAAATCGCAAATAAAGTCACGCCTGCGAATAATAGATGCCCGTCGGAAAATTCGTTCTCGGCTCTCGGATGGGGTGGCTGAGAGCGGCGGAGGCGGCAGGGTGAATGTTGGAAAATTAACGCTTAACATGGCGCCGCACTTTCTCGCAGCATTCTGCATTTATTCGCCGCAGTCGGTTTATCCATTTATAACGCATCAGCGCGACGCTGCGAACCCATTATTTTTACCGGGGACTTTATCGCCCTTGAAAACACGATTTTTAGCTCGGCGCGCATCGCCGCGTCCCCCGGCGCGGTCTCATTGCTGATCAAACATTTATCGTGGAAGTTTGCAAAGTGGCAGAAATCTCAAGTCCCCTCGTCGCTTACACCCCCGGGAAAACCGACCTCACATCTCACACACGTCGACACATTGATGCGCATCCGTACACGCGCGGCCCCGCGAATACTCCTCCCTCCCCCCCCCCCCCGCTTTCTCGATGACGGTTTTAGTACCATGGGGAGAAATTACCGCCAAGGCAATCGGAATTATAAAACACGCGACGTCCAAAGGCCTGCGATTCGCACTTCTCAGCGAATCCGTGGCCGAGCCGAGTGACGACGATGACGACGATGACGAAGATCGTCCGGAAGTCGACGCAGAAGAAAAAGAAACGCGCGAAATCATTCCGGCTGACGACTTTCCGAGAAGCCTCGCGGCTCGCGAAGCAACTCATTCGGCGTTGCCGTAGCCGCATCTTCATGGTGCGAGTCGCAGAGTTGTTCGATACATTTGCCGTGTAATCAGAACTGTGCAAACTGGACTTACGAGTCGAAATAAATCGAGGCAGGAAGGACAAGGAAAGCGCGTGTTCTCTTATTAAATCCTGTTTATACGCGGATAAGCTACCGGTAACTCGCTGATGTTATCTGCGTTACGTTTGTTACGCAGCTTAAATTACTTACTACGTGTAGTGCTTTATGAGAGACGTCGTGCGTAATAATTAATAACAGTAACACAGCCAACAGGGAACACTTTCCGGGGCCGTATCTCTGCAGAACTATCGCGCGCACATAATACGGCGATATTTTATATCCAGCAAATATAAACTGTAAATTATGCGCGGGCACAAATTCGTCGGGATTCTTCAGCTCGAACGCGATCATTGTTAATTCAAAGCGCAAACCTCGCAACGTTGAAATACACAGCGTTTGAATATGAAGTCAACTGACGACAACCGACGGCGTGTGTGTCGTGCACACGAAAGAGAAACAATGTCCGTTAAAGAGAAAGAGAAAACAGACGAGGGGGAGGAAAGTTTCGACCTCCCTTTCTCTCCTTCCCTCACAAGACGCCTCGTACACACTTTGTACACGGGCCCGGGGAAACAGCGGACAAAGGAATCGGAAAAATGAAAGATCAGGTCGCGCGCGCGAAATGCCCGCATGAGAGCGGGATCCCGCGCCTCGTGTTCCGCGGTTTCGATCCCGAGGCACGGCAACGAGAAACGCAACATTCTCGCTCAAAGAAAAACTTCAGCACGGAGTTCAGCGCGGATGATCCTGATTGACGAGGACGGGACAAGAGAGGAAAGAAGAGTATTTCGCGGCGCTCATTCGGCGCGCGCCGTTCCTTTGATCAATCGGACGGCGGCGGCTGAGTTCGGGAAACGTGACGTAAGATCCGCCGGACCCGATGCGCGCCTGCGAGCGGAAACTATCCCGAACTTCGTGGTGGCGGATTGGCCGACGCGTTTGAAGTCTTCTCTGAGAGAGAAAGACGGAGGGAGAGAGTGAGAGCGAGAGCGAGAGGCGGAGCGAGAGCGAGAGCGAGAGCGAGAGAGAGTGAGAGAGAGAGAGAGTGAGAGAGAGAGAGAGAGAGAGAGCTCCTTATCATCATGCCGGTCGTATAACTGCAGGCGGTGCTCGCGTACATACCCCGAAACCGAGCGTTTCCACACGACCGGCTTCGAAACATTTCAATTACTTATGCCGTACCAGCCCTCTCTCGCGCGCGCGGCTTCCTTCCATCTCACCGTTTCTCTCCATTAGGCGAGTGACTTAGCGGCAGAGACGGCGGCGGCGGCGGCGGCGGCGGCGGCGGCGGCGGCGGTGGCGGCGGCGGCGGCGACGACGGCGACGGCGGCGGAGGCGGCGGAGGCGGCAGCGGAGAGGCGGCGGCCTTTTGCAGTTCGCCATGCGGAATCTTAGAATCGACTTCGGGACTTCAATATAGACCGTTTGAGTTATCGCTCGACATACCCACGGGCGAGTCTCGGATCTGCGGAAGATCAAGCGCCGCTGAGCATGAACGCGATGTTACCTCGTGACGGTGCCATGGGGCCGTATAGATATACGCGATATTAATCTCTGCGCGATCGATTCGTCTAGCGGCATATTAAAAAAAAAAAGAAAAGAAAAAAGAGGAAAAATCGATCGGCTTGTCAGCGAGCCAAAGGGATACGGTTAAGAGTCCTATTTCGATTCCGATTCGAGGGAACCTGAAAGAAACCTGAAGGAAACGAAGCAAACTCGCGTTCTTGGGCCTTCGCGCTCGAGTTTGAATCCCGTACAATTTCATTTCATCCTGTCTGCGGTTCCGGGCTAGAATAGCAACACGATGTTGCCTGCCTGTCGTACGAGCTGATTGGAGAGGAGGTTGGGTATGGGCTGACCATCCTCCTCCGTGTAGGAAGCTCTTGTTCGAGAAAGGTCTGGTGGAAAAACAGCGGAGGATTAGAACCTCCCTTGGCTTGTCTTTAGTCGTCGAAAGCAAGAAAGAGGACAGCGACGGCGGAAAACGCGAAACTTCATTTAAAATTTGCCGAACATTAATCAAGCCTCGCGATGGACGATTTAGCCTTGAGTGTCATTGATACGAGCATGAAGTATGCATTAGCCGAGTGTTTTCTCTTTCATTCGTTCCGCAGCAATTACGTCACGCTCTTGGTTTTGCCAGTGGAGTGATTTATTTCTCCACTTCTTGTTTTCGACGCTGCACTTGTTGCGCGAAGGGGTGCTGTCTGCGAAAATCGCGCCGTTATCCCGAACGGACTGAATGCCCATTCGGAACGGTCATCTCGCGCGCGCGCGCGCGCGTGCGTTCGCCGTGAAGATAAAGTTTTATATGTCAACTGTACGCTCTCTCTGTACGAAGTGACGCTACTTGTTTGCGCGGAGAGCGTTTTAACCGCGAGAATGTGTACGAACGCGACGATAGAGCTTTCCTCGTGGTTTTTCCGCAATTGTATCGGACTTTATCTCTCGTCCTTTTCTCTCTCTCTCTCTCTCTCTCTCTCTCTCTCTCTCTCTCTCTCTCGTGAGCGCGCGCGCGCGCGCTCACACGTGCGCCGAAGCATTCGCCGGCGATAAAGCGCGATTCTGTCGACCTGTCCGCGAATCTCCCTCGGCATCTCTCTCGGGGCGAGAATCAAGCGCTTTCGGTTGTCCGCTCGCTCTGAGACACACAGCCGCAGCTCCCCGGAGATTATCTCACGCTCGCGTGAACTCTAACAGAAATCACCGCGCGACCGCCGTTATGCGTGCGAATACAGTCGCGCGTTCTTATCTTGCCGCTTTGAGACCTATTCAATATTCATGTACCTCGAGCTATATAACCGAGGATCACAATTCTAATTCTATCTTATCAAAGCGCCGGGCGCTTCCAGCAGTCGCGACCTTCCCTCGTCAAACTCCTCGGGATCTCCTCCCTCTCGCTGTGGATCTCGGTGGCGCAGTTTTAACCCATTTTACGGCATTCGCTTGGAGAGAGTTCAGTTTCGGATGCGTCTCTCTCTCTCTCTCTCTCTCTTCTCCTCCCACCGCGCATCCGCTCGCCACGAAAAATAAGAGACGGTTTTATATTTCGCCGCCGCTGCCGCCGTCTCTGTTTCCACACGAGCTTCATTCGCTCCTTTTGTCCATATCAGAGAGTGAGAGAGAGGGGGGAGAGAGAGAGAGAGAGAGAGAGAGAGAGAGCAAGAGAAAGGAAGAGGAGAGAGAGCGGTCGTGTTAAAGCGGAGCGCCGAAATGAATGGTCGGGGAATTATTCACTTTGCGAATCTCGGTGAGTGGAGAAAGAGAGGGAGAGGGGGGAGAGAGAGAGAGAGAGAGAGAGAGAACGGGAGAGTAGGGTCGAGATAAGATACGACTTCATTTCCGCCCCGCGGCTACACTACGCTCCGCGAGCGTCGTTCATTTCCTCCGTCCACGTTGGTAGATACAGACCGTAGTCGAAGTTAACTTTTTAGCGCGCCGAAAAGACACAATTGACCCCGGCGACGCATCGAGTGGCTCAATTATATATCGCGATTGCAAAATAATGCGCGCGAAATTGCCGACATAGATCGCCCTCGCTGTTCCCTCGAAGTGCGCGCAGACGAGGGGCGCCAGGCGTGTGGCTTGCAGCTTGAGACGCTGATTAATCGACGAACGAGCGGATTTATCGGCAAACACGATGATCGTGCGGAGAAATAGAAAAGAAAAAGAAAAAAAAAAACTGTATAGTTCGCGCTGAGGAAACAGCGAGCGATGAATTTTAAGGCTGGATACGCTGCACGTCCAGAGGCAAATCTAACCGAATTTATTCAAATCCCTATCGTTTTGCCCTTCCAGCCGTAGGGCGGCAGCAATAAGTCACTGTCGCGGGTGGGCTTTATGAATAATGCAGCTTACGGGGAACTTTTTCCGTGGAACGTAGAAAACCGGGCGCTGGAGATGCAGGGTACAAGCATAGGTACACTTCCTCAACTCTTTCGAGGGCCGAGATTGTGTGGACGGAGACGATGCTGCAAACGCTCGACGACAGACCGGTCCGCTGGAATAGCAGCCGAGGGAGGGGGAGAGAGAGAGAGAGAGAGAGAGAGGGAGAGAGAGAGAGAGGGAGGGAAAAAGAGGGCTGTTTCAAGATGTTTAAGTAGCCGTTCAAACGGTTCTTTTATTAAAACGCCCGACGGCAAATACGAGGCGTTCCCCGAACTCCTCGCGCTTCCTCTCGTCCGCTCGAGTTATTCGGAATGAATTATTTCACGGATTCTTTCGCGAGAGGAGATACCGATACACCGCGCTGTATCCGTAATTTCTTCGGTTCCTTCAGTCGCTCGAGCTCGCGGCTCCGGAGACGCAAATATTAATAGCGAAGCCGCGCGCTCCTTTATTCGACGTGTAAAATACACTTTGCGTTAACGGGGGAGTGTGTTTTAATTAGACGCTCGGTTGCACGCGCTCGCGCGGCCAGTTTGGCCGCCATCGCCGGCGCGAAAGGATAAGCGGTAGCGCGCGGCTTATCGGGCAGAATGGAACGCCGAGGGAGAAGATTCGCCCATTGGCCCCACAGTTGACACAGTTTCCCGCCGGCGCGGCGGTGTGTTCACCGCCGTCGGTCGATATCCCCCACATCGTGACTACCTAAGAAGATCATCGTCGCAGTAAGCGTTACACGCCAACACGCGGCTTCAAACTTAATGGGCCATTCGCGGCGCGCAGTCGTGCGGTGCGCCGCGTGATACGACTGATGTTTGAGCTGGCCGTTAATGCGACAATAATATCGATCGCCAAGGCGCCGGAGCAGCTCTCTCTCTCTCTCTCTCTCTCTCTCTCTCTCTCTCGGTCGACCTCGACACGTCGAGCACGCACCGGGATCTACGCGCCCGGTTCCGGGCGGACGCGAGCGAGCGAGCGAGCGAGCAGGCGAGCGATCGATCTTGCTTGCTGCGCGATAGATCAGCCGGGCGATCATGAATCGGTTTCACCTCTGTGAACCTGTGGGGAAAGTGCACATTCTCTCAAACGCTCTCGTAAATTGGAAAATGTTCACCAGCCTCGAGTTTACGCTGAAGAAAGAGATTCGGCACATGAGACCTCTCTCGGCCCTCCGGAGGGCCGAACTTTGGGAGCGAATTTCGGTAAGAGATGGAACGGGACTCGCGGTGACAAGCGGACTGAAATTTCGCGGGAGTTCGATGCACGAACGCGTCGATGAAACGTGCGGAGGCAAGCGGAATCCCAGAAGGACGTTTCGCGACTGACAAGTTCCACAAGGCGCACCCGTGTCTCTTCTCTCGATGTAACGTACGCCACATCTCGCCACATGATCCGGAAGTCGTCGAAGTAAACCGGAAGCCGGCACTCGCGATAGGCTTAAGCGTAATCGCGGCTGATGAAGAAATAAGCGCGGCTCTGTCGCCCGGCCGCTGCTCGGCCACTCCTACATTCGAGGATACCGGAAGCCGCCGGGCGCGTGTCCGAAAGGGCAAAATTTGATACATAAATTCTGATAAGCGCGGGGATCCCCAGGGGATTGTCGCCGAGCCGGCAGTCGGAGCGTCTTAATCTAAACGCTTCCCTCGCACGGAAAGGAAAATCTAGCGGGAAGACGCCGGCTAATTTAGACGCGCGACGTTCCGCATCCGCGGCGCCGTCGTTACCGGGGCTATCGTCGACGTGGCGAACGCGGCTGGGTCCTCTCATCTCAGACCTGAGGGGACTCTGAATAGTCGAGGAAGGTAACGCGCGGAAATCGACAGATTTAATTAATGTGAGAGAGAATATCCTCGCGTGAGCGGTGCAGCGAGTGGAACGCGAGTCTGTAAGTCGTTCGTCCGACGAATGAGAAACGTAAGATGGGCGAACGGGGATATCGGTGCCGCGACAGCTTAATGCCGCGAGTTTACCTTGGCAGGCAGGCAGGCAGGCAAGGAAGAAAGAAAGAAAGGGAGGAAGGACGGAAGGAATGTAAGCACACAGAAGAAAGAAGGAAACTCCGTAGCACGCCGTTAGAAAGAATAAAAGCAAACAGAACACTCACCGATACTCCGATCCCTCGCTCAGCTGTCTGACCGTAATGGGAAATTCGCTGGGTCCGTGCGCTTTCAGAAGTTCCTGCAATCGCACGAGTCCCTCGTTGTTCTCGTAGATAATGGTGAAACTCTTCCACCCCCAGGCCTTCACCAGATCGACGTACGCCTGGAACACGGGTAATCAATCACAAGCTGTTATTATTACGGTCAGGTTAACAACCGTCGTAACGCTTTTACGTCTCACGATGTAATTTAACTCTCTCGGTCTGCCTACGCGGTCGTCACGCGAAGGTAACAAGCACACACACACACACACACACACACACGCGCGCGCGCGCGCGCGCGCACGCTAGCGTGAAACAATAATTTTGCGTAATTCAACGCCTGGTTTATTCGTTCAATGCGACACGCCTGAAGCCGCGTATATTACCAAGCGCGTGCGTATATATGCTATTGCGATTAAAAATATTCTGTCATTTGATGAAACGCGAAAATACACGGGGAGAAAGTCTACGCGTTAATAACGTCCGATTACACGGCTGAAGCGTCTCATTTGCAATAACCGATTATTTTCTACCTCGTACGGCTGCGAGAGAGCTGCGTAGAATAGGGCTTTAATTGCAATTTCTCCCTTTATACATCGGATGACGACGTGTGTGTCGGTCGGGTGTTGTCGATTGATTTCTAGATGCGTAAATGAACGAGAAATATGCATCGAAAATAATTTCGTCGCACGATATCGCTGAATTAATCATCGCTGCAAATTGGCCACGGTCAATTGTCATTGTTACACGGCGAATCATCTGACGAGTGTAAGCGGGAAAGGTCGGGAGAATTTGCCGCGGCAAATTGATGGAATATTTCACATGTTGTCATCAGATGTTGGCGGAGAAGAAACTCGGCCGCGTCTCACCCCTCGCAAAAACTTGCTACCGCACAAAAGCTGCGTTACCTTATTTTTACGTTGTTACGTTATTCCCGATTGTTCCGACTCGATCGAACTGTACGGTTTACAACATTCAAAGCTCTCTATTACATTGTGCCCGCAGCTTCTCCACGTAAATCGCAACGATCGCTATCAAAGGAAAAAAAGAAAGAAGGAAAATAACACAGCGCGAGGGGGTGCGAGATTGAGTAAAAGATTTAAGAGTCAAAGACGCAGATTGTACATATATAGCTCGTTTCTGCAGCAGCGTCTGGTGGATAAAAATATCGCGGCGCACACTCGAAACGCATCAGCGAAATATATTATTTTGACGTTCACGCAGAGCTCATACGTAGCGAGCGTGTCCACTTGTTATGTATCGTAATACCCGCCGGCGCTATTTCACGTAACGTCAATAAGTCCTCTTTTTTGCAACGGTTATTGATTTTTATTAGACACGTCCGTGCAAAGTGACGATATATGCGCGCGCTGGTAAAAAGGGCGACGCAAAAAATACGTAGATCCACGAACGTGAAAGATCCGCGCGTGAGCAAGACCGCCGGCAGAACTGCGATCCGCGGCTGGTAGTAACAAATTGCGTATCGGCACGAAATACAACCGCACACACCGTGAGAAGAATTCGCGCGCGCGCGCGCGCGAACATTTATGACTGCGTCTCGAATTCCGTTAGAGTTTGGATTACAATATGTTGCCGGTGAAATGTCGCCGACGCCGGCTATAAATAAATCGCCCGCCCGCACCCCGCGGCCGCCATTATTGCGCGAGCACGGGACATTGTGTTGTAAAGTATCGTAGTTATCCGCTCGCTCCGTTCGGTCAAGCGTTGTCATTTTCGTCGCGTCGCACAAGGGCGCTCACACTTGTCACACTTGTACAGCGTAACAAATGTGTCTTCTCGCAATTATTCTCTGAAATTAGCCCTGTTCACCGGATAACGCGCTCTTCTTCGCTGGATTCTTCGACGAGGACGGTCTGAGGAGCGAGTTTAGCTTGTTTCTCCAACACGAAGGAAAGAGAGTAGCGCGTCCGTGCGCGCGCGTGCGAATACCTGTGTGTATTCCGCGCGACGTCTTTTATGTAACTCGTAGTGATAGAACAAACGTTGCGAAACGTAACCGGGGGAGGGGATGGTTTTAAAATAAACCTCTTTTACCGCGTGCACTCGCCGCACTCTTCGTATTGTGACGCAACGACGCGTCACTCGCAAGTGAGCAGAAAGAGAGAGAGAGAGAGAGAGACAGAGAGAGAGAGAGAGAGAGAGAAGGAGGAAAGAAGAGAGGAAAGAGAGTAGCGTAAGAGATTGCGACTTATTTTGTCGCGCGGTGACTTCTCCTTTCGCACAGCTCTGGCTTTTTTAACTGGGAAAACAAGTATCACCATGTCGCGGCGCTCTCCAATGGCCGAATCCACGCTGCTTTCACGCGCGTTGCAGGAAATTCACTTCTCCCTGTCTCTCTCTCCCTCTCCATCTCTTTTTCTACCGCGGCACACGCGCGCGTCTCACTTTTTCCGATAATCCAAATTCCACGAAAGGGTGAATGTATATTTTTCCAACGAGGGAACTTCCGCCGCGCTCTCTCACATTTTCACCTCGTTTTTTCCATTCGATCTCCTTTTTCTCCTCTTTTTCCTCCCATCCTCCCATCAGCCCTCGAACACGCGACGTTACGAACCTCGAGATTTCGCGTTGTCGTCGCGTCATTTTTAGCCAGGCTCTCTCACCTGACGACGCAACCATCTGGCTGCATTATACTCCTTCGCGGTAATCCCAGTTAGGATTATAACGCGTGATGTCACACCCGAGACCGTGCGAAAGCTCAACTTCTACCTCGCTCGCGGATGAATCATTTCGCGTGTTCGTCCCGGACGGATCCTGCGCGCTTGATCCTGCCGGTTAACCGGTTAAATGTAGCATCGCGAGATATGCCGATGGCGGATGTCGTTATTCAGCGCCGTAGGTGGCCTCGAATACGTCTCGTTTGTTCGAGGCGAGAGCGAGCTGCAGAGGCGAATCTCGTAATTCCTGAAATACGAACGTCGACAAAGTTGTTCTTCCTTTTGTTTGCAGTTTAGCGTCACATTTTCCTCCTCATCCGTTTCGTCGATTACGAGAAAAATGGGGAAAGTTTGCACGGAGGATTGGGCCGCGGTCGAAACGACGCCGCTAAATGCGCGTTGTACCCTTAATCTCCTATCCGTATCCTGAGCGTCCTGTTGGTGATTTAGCTGTTTTTGTCGAGTATTCCCCCTCCTGCTACCACACGCCGACCCTTATCGGCCCTTTGCGCCTTTGGCTGGCGTTGCTGCAATCGGGCGTTAATACAAACCGATTGCTTTGGCAACGGCATCAGCCCGCCACACGGGAAAGCACACGCTCCAGCAAAACGTGAGCGGGAGCCACGATGACGATGACGCGTCCACTTTAGGGAGACATTCTCAACTTATCGCACTCCGCTTCTCCAAAATCAACTCATTTGCGGAATTTCACGGCGGACGCTGCTCGCTCGCGTACACGTGCCAGTCCGCGATTTTGCGGATAGTAATTTTAGAACGTTGGATGGCGTCCGCGCGCGCGCGCGCGCGCGTTATTCATACCGTTGCTCGTTATTTCGCGCGATACGAATCCATGGAAACCAAGCGAAAAAACGAGAGAAAGAGGGAGGGGGGAGGGGGGGAAGAGAAGGAGAGAGTGAGAGAGAGAAAGAGAGAGAGAGAGAGAGAGAAATAACACGCAAACTTTGCCGATACCGTCGTGTACGTTCGGCGGTCACTTTTTGCACGTTGTACAGGCGACGGCGCGCAGGTCGACGACCCCGCTGGTGCCTGTCCATTTGCGATGCTAACAGGCTCGGATTGTCACGGGAGCGCAGACAACGCTCGCTGGCGAATCGCCAGATTACGTTCATTAATAATACGCTGATTATATACTGCGGCTTCTTGTCGAGACGAGATTTACCGAATTTGGCGAGTTACACTCTTTCAATCGAGCCGGGTTGAACGGCCGGGAGGGGAGTCTGTCACGCTCGTGACGCGCGACCTCGCGGAAAAACAGACGACGATCTCGTGAGTGACGAGCGAGGCGGCTGATCTCCATCCCGCTAATAAGAGCAGCCGAAGGGAAAATAGGTCGGTCGGGGTATTTTCGGAATTATAATGCGGAATTTTAATGCAACGCGCGCGCATTTCGGCGCGAAGCCGCGCCGCTACTGCCCTGCTGAGACTGGGATCGCTGACGGGGGGGGATCCGCGGGCGCGATTAAACTGGGCACGGCGTATCGAGCACTGAAACCGCGTTTGTTCAAAGCACTCGCTGCTGCAATGCGATACGGAATGACAAATGTAGCTTGGTCGGTCTTCTAAAATGTATGGTAATGTCTTGTCCACATCGCTGACCCCGGCCGCCGCGGAAGCAACTTCGCCGCTCGTGGGCCATCCACTGCGCCCCGCCGGCCATTGTGCCTTTCCCCCCAATGTACGTTTTTTAACAATTCACCGAAAGACCCCGATCTCGAGTCCTCACTCCCATCGAAATTCAACGTGAAATTTTTACGTGCGAATTATTCGCGACAATAAGGCGTACACGTGGTGGTGGTACTCTCGTGAAATATTCAGCGAGCTAAACGCAATTTGCGCAAAGTACACACACACACACACACGTTGCAACCGAGATATCCGCGGCTGGAAATTCGTCGAGAGGCGCGTTGACGGTTTCCCGGCTACAAAATCTCGAAGTTGCGCCGTTACCATAAATTAATCATAACTTCGCGATGAATTATGAGGTCTCGGCTGCCTGGAGCGCGCGGAGAGCGCGCGAAGAGCGCGGCGTCCTTAGAACGCCGCTTCTTTCCCCTTTTTTGTTTCTTCCATCTCCGTGTGAAATTATTGCCGTTTTAACAAGAGAGACGGGCGTAATTTACGGGACGGTCCAATTTCAGTGATTCCCGGCCACGGGATCCGACTCGGCGAACGGGAATAAATCGTTCGCCGCCCGCTATTGGCCGACGCACGCTGTATACTCATGCATCTCCCATAATCGCGGGACTTGGTGAATCTGATCGCGACAACTGTGCCCGGCGTGTTGTACGTCGCGTACTCGCGCGTGCCGTACGCGCTGTCGGTACAAATAGCGCTCCGCCAGAATCTCGTTCGCCCGTGTGTTTTGCGCACGGTAATGTATCGTGGCGGCAGATTGATGTTTAAATTACACCCGGTGTAGCGCA